CCTGGGGCCAGGAAGGATGGCAGTGTATGTGGAGGGTATGTTGCTTTGATAACAACTTTGGGAGTCCCAGGCCATGCCCAGTTGGGCCTGCTGCCTTTGGCCCTGTGGCAATGCAACACATTGTGGCTGAAGAGAGAAAGGAACACAGCTGCTCACCTCACGGCAGTGGGAAACCAAAGCAGGGGAAGGAAATGGCCGAGGCCCCAGCATCACCTGCAAGAGCATACCCCCATGTCCGGAAGGCCTCTCACAATGTCCTACCTCTGAAGGCTCTGCCCCATTCAAATAATGCCACTCTGGGGGACGAGCGGAGGTCCTGACCCAAACCCTAGCAAGTATGTATCACACTCTCTGGATGTGAAGAAAGCCTGGGGCTGGGGAGAGTTGGTGCTGCAGTCCCGTCCACTGTTTGGGGGTCAAATGCTCAAACTCTTAACTGTGGTCACAGGATGGGGGTTGGAGGGCTGTGCGGGAGGGAAGGAAGATTAAGAAAATACCAAGGGTGTTAAACGGAGTTCCCAGAAGACTTTAAAAGCCCAGTGTGTGTCACACCTGTCTCTGGTTCTACAGGAACCTCCCAGTAAAATCCACCTCACTGAGGCTTCTGTGTCACGTCATATGGCAGGCTAAGTCACTACGGTCCTTGTATATCTCACCATGAAGAAGCTTACACATCAGCGCCATAGATTTGGTCAGACGTCAGAGCTGGGCTTGTGATTTGGGAGGTTAACACAGCAAGACTAACTTCAGTCCTGAAGGAGGGCAGAGGAGGGGCTGGTACGACCTTTCCCTTCCTCCCTGCTCACCTTCTCCCTCCTCTGTCCCCCCTCCTCTCTTTTCTGTCTTTTCAGGCCTAGGATTGTCTTCCTCTTTGGGGCAGATGGACCTTGCTGCTCTGAAGCTGCATTTCCAGACTCACTGCCATCCTAGGGACAGTGCATCAGCTTGTGGCCTTCCAGGGCATTTTCGGGACTCACTGACATCCTTGGGACAGTGCATCAGCCCGTGGCCATCCAGGACATTCCTGGGACTTTTCCTTGCTGCTTAAAGTCTGTTAGCCAGAAATCTGGAACAAAGTCTGACCATGAGGGCTCTAAAGGGATAGGGAGGAGAAATAAGATGGGGAAACAAAAACATTGGTGTTTTCTCTTGGATAATTGAGACTTACACACACACACACACACACACACACACACACTATGAAAAAGAAAAGGAGACTTACTTGGGTGTAGGAAAGGAATCAGCAAAGAGCCAGGCATTATGAGCAGGGCAAATATAAGCAGATACTGATGTTTGTGAAAGTATCAGATGTTGTATGTCAACTAAAAAAAAAAAATCGTTGCAAAAAAGCATTCTTGTTGATGGGGCTGGAGAGCTGGCTCAGAAGTTAAGAGCTTGTACCTACATAGAGCTTGAGTTTGGCTCCCAGCATCCACAACAGGCAGCTGACAACTGCCTGGGACTGCATCTTCAGGAGGTGGGTAGCCGTGTCCCTCAGGCACCCCACACACATGTGCACATATGCTAATACAGATACACATATAATAAAAAGAAATTAAAAAAAATCACTAGTTACTCATATTAATAATAAATAATCCTTAGTCGCTAATGTATGTATTCTTAACTTCCTCTTCTTGTAAAGACAGTGGTCAGGTTGGGTTGGGGTCCTGCTCAGTGGCCTTTTCGAGCCCATTGCAGTCCCTTACTGAGGGATGGCAATGCAGAGCTCCAACAGAAAGAGCTGGGGTAGGGGCGGCTCTCATCCCTACCCCTGACGCTGGCTTTTCCTTCTACTCTTCTGTGGTCGCCAGGATAGCTCATCTCCCTCCAGCAATGTACTGCAAGTGTTTAATGACCAGCCTTGGGGTGTAGGATGATGGTGGGGTCAAGAGGGCTTGATAGTGTTTACCAGTGTCTGTGGTGTAAATATCCCACCATAGCAGGTCTTAATCTACCACCAACATGACACAAAACAGACAAGCATTCTGAAAAATACATTTTCAGTGCAGATGTCTCCTGGCTCCGACTCTTCCCACCAGGAAGCAGCCGCACTGCTGGGCTTTCCCCTCCACACAGTGTCACCAGTGTCTAGCCGTCCTAGTGACAACATATGGTTTGACAGTTATCTGCTAAATAGGGTGACTTCTCTAACCCCTGCTTAGGAGGCATTTGTGAATTGGTCATTTTGTTGCCCCGGTGACTATGGCGGCCTCTTTGCTGGTGGCCCTCCTTATCTGCCAGACCCTGATGATGTCCAGGTCTCCCAATAGCCATTTGCTCTGTCATGTCTCAGCCCAGACAGCCCCAGCCCTGGGTGATTTCTGCTGCCAGGCCGACTCAGCTGAAAGCGAGGACACCTGCATCTTTGTCATTTTCAAGGTTATGTTCCCTCTGGGCTCCCAGCACCTCTTCTGAGAAAGCTGCTTCTTCCTCTGCTCATGGGACAGACATCATGTCCTACAGAATGGATAGGAGAAGCCAATTCTGAGGTAGAAAGGATACTCACCTACACTACAATGTATCCAAAGGCTCTTGCCTAGAAAGAGTCAAATTCTCTCCTCGTGAGAGAATGGAGAACTGATGAGCAAAGGCATGAGTAAGGAATGCTGGGAAAGGGCTCTGCTAGAGGCTCCAGGCAGGAGATCTCTCAAGTTGGGGAGGGTGTTTAGGGGGCGGGGACTGGCCTTATCGGAAGATGACAGCCCCTCATTCCTTACTTGTTAGGTCACTTGTTAGGACACCAGAGCTGGGTGAGGTGTCACCATATGAACCCTACCTTGACTCATTGTTTCTTTAGAGGTCATAACCTGAAGGAGGAGAGGGAAGCCTGCCAGGACACTATGTCCGTGAAAGGGGGTAGCAGCAGGCAGGCTGTGATGGAAGGGCGATGTAAGCTGGTGTGGGCCCAGAGCACAGGCTGAACTCGGCAGCATACAGGAATCACTCAGTTAGAGTGGGAAGACCGTATGAATGTGGATTGTCTATCTCTTGCTCTTCCTCTGTCTCTCAGTGTCCCCAGCACTGAACAACACGGCCTGACACACAGGCACACTCCACGGTGCTGGCGGCACCAGGGAGGCGATGACATAGCCTTCTTCTGGTAACAACTCAGGGAAGACAGCTTCGTCCCAACCCCAGCTTCTACTTTTTGGTGCCGCAATCCACTTCTTCCCCCTCCAGCTGCCCCTTAGAGTTCTGACAGGCATTGAACACACCGAGCCTGTGACTCAGGACAGTCTCTACTTCCTTAAACCCTTGGTGGAATCCCCAAGGCAACTCAGGGTGAGATGACATCTTGGGGTACAGCTGGGGCCACTTTCCCATTAGATGAGCACGGGTCAGCAGGCTGGACCTCGACGTTCTGTGAGGAGAAAGGGAACAGAACGTTCAAACCCTAGGAGAGGGACCCACTCACGCCTCACAAAACAGGAAGTGAGCTCAGAGAAGGAGCCAGGCCGCAGTCTCTTTCTGTTTGACTGCTCAGCTCTACCCTTCTTCTGACCTTGAACTTATCTTCATTCTGGGAGGCTCACAGTTGGGGCAAGAGGAGAAAGCTTATGGACAATTAAAGAACTACCTGTCAAAGATATACGAGAAAGCCAAACTGAGCTATTCCTTGGTGCCTGGGGAGGGAAGATTGCATTTCGGTCACCTCACAGAGGCAGCAGCTGTCCCCCAGCCTCACAGGTCCTTCCCTCAAACCCACCTCTAGAGTGTCCTCCCCAACTTGCCTGAGACAATGCAACAGAGCCGATCTCGGGTAGCAGTGCCTCTCCGAGCCCTGGTTCCCTGAAAAACCCCGGGCTGCTACCTGTCTACATCCAGACCTGGGGGAGGGGAGGCCACCTTCACACGCCAGCACACAGAAGTGACCCTGTAGGGGAGAGCTTCTCCATTTCTATTTTTGAGACTCTGTGTGCCCATGCTCACCTGTTTTTCCTGATATCATGTTTTCTGTCTTTTCTGAGAACAGGGCTTGTCATGTTGTAGATCATATGTAAGCGGGGATGTAGTGACATACCGCCTTCTGGCAGGACACCAAGTGAGACATTCAGTTATTCGACGCTAGACTCGCTAGTCACCCCAACAAGAGGTCATCAGAGGAGGAAATGGGACCAGATACTGGCTGAGAGCATAGTGACGAAGTGGGTACCCCTGTGTCTGTATTGTGGATGACAGGTAAAATCACGGAGAGATGAGGTGACGTGTCCAAGATCACACAGCAAGCGACAGTGTTGGGGTACAGGCCCTTCTCCTTGTTCTAGCAGCTGGACAGGAGGAATGTCCCCACAGTTCGAGCATGGGAAGAATTAGGAGAGGTTTTCCCAAACGGACAGAAAGACTACATCAGACCCAGACCCTGGGAGAACCCTTTGCTTCCCAGATGTGCCAAGTCCTGGCAGATGTTAGCTGACCTGCGCAGCTGCCCCAGGTGCTCCAACACATCTAACTGCTTTCCCTTGAGGTCATTCTGCCTTTTAAGGAACAATGTTCTGTTTGTCTCTTCTACCATAGACTCTGCCTAAACACTTCCTGGTCGCTCCCCAGCCCAAGGTTTGGGTAATCGTAACCCTGCAGGCTGTGCAACACCACCAAGACTCCAGGAACCCACAACTTCTCAATAATGCTGAACAGAGCGAAATTTCCCAGTAACCACCTCCCCCGCCTGACTAATACTCTAGCTTGGCAGAGCAACGTCCTCTTTTTGAGGAACCCAGTCATTTGGTTTGGATTCTTTATTTGTTGTACTGGAATGGCCTTCTGAATCATTCCGTTTTTGCTTTTGAGTTGATTCATTTTTTGTATTTCCTTGTATAGAAACTCAGCCTCCTTCAGGGCTTAGCCCCATCGCCAGCTTCCCCACGGGTCAGCTACGCCCACAGCACCCTGGTGCCTGAACCATTCCCCTAATGTTTAATATGTGGTCATCAGAGGAAAAATGATACAAATTTCATGCAGGCACTGAGTCAGCCCACTTTGCTTTCACCAGGACTCTAGGGAGACTGTATCGTGTCCATTTTACAGACTGTGAAACTGAGCCTAGCTGCGGTCACACAAAGGAAAAGGCGAGGGTCAGAAGCTGAGCCTGCTTTCAGGCTCCATAGCCAGAACCTGGAAGAACCTGGTTCATGGGCGTTCTGGCTGTGAGGTGGGTTGTGGCACTGGTTGAGCACCAAAGGCTGTAATTCCCACACTGTCACCTCCGGCACTGTGTCTGGAAGTAGCTTCAGTCCTGCAAACACTGACTCAATGGGCCTTTCTCGCATTTCCTACGGCACTTGGGGCTCCCCAGCTTTGTTTCCTGTTCTCTCCTTCGCTGCACACTGAGTGGAGCCATCCCTGGCATGGCCTGGAGGACCCACGGGCACACGTCCTAGTGGGAAATCGATAAGGGGGATTCTCAGATTCAGCTAAGACGTTCCCTGTTGTTCCAGATGAGCGCCGCCACAGAAGATCCTCACGGCGTTTTCTGAGCTCCAGTGGCAGGACCTTCAGACAAAGGGCTCCAGACACATTTCGTGGGTATCCCTGGGGACAGGTGTGCACTCAAGACTCCTTCTGGAGCAGCTTAGCCAGCATCGAGCGCTACTTTCCTTTCAGCTCCGTTGGGAGGCAAGCTCCTGAGTTCACTGAGGGCAGGACGGTTGGAGTCTCTGGGGAAACAGAGGTGGGGAGAGGGTAGTGGCCCCCCAGAGCAAGGAAGTCTGGCCATGGATGAGGCCAAGCCTTGTAGCAGACGGACGGCAGAGTTAGGTGAGATGAAAAGGTCTGAGGGAGGTGACAGGAAACCAGCCATGGGTGGCACGTGGGGACGCTGCTGTGGCCACAACTCCCGTTAGCTTTGGCTCTGACTTCTGCTTTTTTGTGTGTTTTGTTTTGTTTTGGAAACAGTCTCTCACTCTGTGTAGCTCAGGCTGGCCTCAAGCTTTCTGTGATCCTCCTGTCTCAGCCTCCCAATTGCTAGGATCGTTGGCGTGAGCTGCTCCAGTCAGTTTTAGTGTGTTTTTGTGTCTGTCGATATTGCTAGCTCCGTCTGCATTTTGTTTGTGATTCCTGATAAGTTTGCATGGCGCTTCTGGAGCCTCCCAGCCTGGCTTGGTCTCACACGTCCCTCTGCCACAGCAGTTAGTGACTTGTGGGACTGGGGCCCAGAGCAGGCACTTTTGATAAGAGCGCTAAGGCTTTGTTTGATCAGGGCGCTTAGGCTTTCCAGGCCCAGCCTTATCCAACACCTCCCTCGCCTGTTCCCGCCCTAGGATGGAGAGGGCGAGCACCCCCACCTGGCAGACCAGTGACTGAGGCCCAGAGGTGGAAAGACAGTAGTATCCCACGACCTGGGGAAGGAGTATTCATCCAGCATGCGGGAAGAAATACATTTGGGGTAGGCCACCTGACGGTCCACCTCAGGGCTCTTGACTGCTGACTTTGGCCTGAAGGATAAGGGTCCTCTCTGCATCTTCCTCATAGGCAAAGTGGAGACCTGGCCTGGTAACCAGAAGCTGTTGAGGTGACAAATGAGAATGACAGCAGCAAACTCCAACACGGCATCCACTCCAGACTAGCGCCAGGCTTCACCCCTCATCTCTCTCGGTTTCCTAAGCAACACCACAAAATGCTGGTCTGTGAGGTCAGACATCCCAGGTGTGAATATCAGCTCTGCCACTTTCTGGCTGTACGACCTTGGACAAGTAATTTTACCTCCCTGGGACTCGTGGGTTTTTTTTTTTGTTTGTTTGTTTGTTTCTGCCTATAGACTGTGATAACATTTGATGTTAGCGTTATAGCAGTAGTAAACGGTACATGGGTGTCCCTCAACTTACAATGTGATGGAAAATATCATTAAGTCAAAATGCATTTGGTACCCTTAGTCTATGGAGCATCACAGCCCCGGCCCGGCCCAGCTTCTTTCAACCTGCTCAGATGCACACATGAGCACACAGGCCCCTCAGCACCAAGCAGAGGATGTCACGGGATGAGGAACGGTTCACGGAGTCTGTCGAACGCTGGAAGTGATCAGTGCGGCAGTGTGGCTATCTAGAGGTGCTTCCCACTACTGCTCTAAGTGGGGTCATTATAACCCGGGGACCAGGAACCTCAGAAAACTCTCAACTTCCTCTTTGCTTGGATTATGAAAATTAGATGGACAAGAGAGAAAACTGTTGAGGGGAACAGCTCACTTTCAGAGCTGGGAGTGGAAGAGAAGGGACTTTTCCTATAAAAGGTGTCACGGTTGAGGCTGGTGTAGTGGCCCGCGTCTAACAGCTGGCTTAGCACTTGGGAAGCTGAGACGAGAGGTTAAGAGTTGGAAAGCTCTGGGTAGATGGATACATGGTGCATAAGCACACACCTGAGTTCAGATCCCCAGTACCTGTACAGAAGCCCTAGTGTGTGTGTTCCCATGCACCCGTAGTCCTAGTGCAGAAGAGGGACTCATGGAGACAGAAGGTTCATGGTGCTTGTTGGCCAGTCAGCCACCCTCATCAAAGTATGGTGATAAGTTCAGGGACAGTCACGTAAGGGGCTAAGTCAGAGAACAATACAGTAAGGCGCTGGATGTCCTTCTCTGGCCTCCACAGGTATGCTCATGGGGACCCCCCCCCCCGACACACACATGCATGCAGGCATACACCATACATACAGAGAGAGTTGGAAGCGAGCCCTGGCTACACGGGGAGACCTCGTCTAAAACAAAACGATACCATAGTTGACAGTTATGGGAATCAGAGAGGGTAAACTAGCTGCTTAAAAATGCACAGATATGTTACAAGCATCAAGGAGGGGATTTGAACTCAGATATGTCTGACATCACAACCCATGGTCCAACAACACACTGCAGGCGTTGGGGTCATGGAAAGATCCAGTGCCTGGCTCTGCAATGAAAATGGAAACATGAGTCACCAGCTATCCCTGGGGAGGGAGGAAAGCCCAGCTTTAGGGCAGAATGTTCCGCCAGATGCTGGGGAGCAGCTGCCAGCACCCCTGAGTCTTTTTCATCCTGAGGTATGGGGGAGAGGGGACAAAGGGACAGCAGCGTCTGAGTCAGCGAATACAGCCTGACTGGGGCCATGCTGGGGATGTCAGGCTTGTACATCTGGCCTCAGGAATGCTGGGTCCCAAGATGGGCCCCAGCATCTGCTGCTTCTTGTAGCTGACTTAACCCCCTGAAATGATCCAGTTGTTTTGTCTCGGCCTGGATTAGTGTTGACTCAAAATGGGCCTCGGATCCTGCTGGGGAAGACAGGCCTGTGAGGCCAGAATGAAGGTAGCTTGTGTCCTGCTCGGGATTCCTGATGTTCTGTGGTAGGATCGGGGAAGGGACAGTGTGCTCAGTGACCAGAGAATGCCAGTCATGCTTGTGAACCAGCTGCCTGAAGGAACAGAGTACTGGAAAGATGTGCTTCTTGTGGGGCTTGGGCGGCTGGTTGCTCCCGGCTGGCCATCTCGCTAGACCTCCCTCCTCAGGCTGCAGCTTCTACCTGACTCTCTTTCCTACCCACTCAGGACCCATCTCATGTTTGCACATGTACAGGTTCTACCCAGGAAAATTTGGGACTGGCCAGGGCGACTTAGTAGCACAGATGATTCATTTTGGTCCTTGAAGGAACAAAAGCCCAGGCCTTCCCAAGGCAGCCTCTACTCAAGCTGGCTTGTCCCCTGGGCTAGGAATGAGTCACGTTGGTCTTCTCTCTGGGGCTCTGATTTTGGAGTTGCATGGGCCTCCTCTGAAGCAAACGTCAGCTTTCTTTACTCTGTTCCTGGTGGAGCCAGGTTAGTTTAGGAGGGGTAGCCAGGCAGCAGCCAGGAGCAGGGTAGGCAGAAAATGGACGGGGGATGGGGCAGGCTCTGCAATGGTTTCTGGAGGCCATGCTGCATCCTTCCTCATGGCCTTCTCCGCCTGGCTAGGCGGGGCCTGCAGCCTGCGCCCAAATTCCTCAGCCAAAAGTGGAAAAACATTCTCTAATTCCACATTGTGTAGGAATTTTAAAAAGTGTGGATAAACCATATGACCTCAATTTCCTCAGCCGCAAAATGAGAATCATCCCAGAGGTTTGGCAAACTCACCCTGGGCAGAGGATAACAAGGGGAGGGCTCCCGGCCTTGGTGAGATGAAGGCCCTCCCCCCTCCCCTCCTGAATCTCCATGGAGAAGGAGCCCTAGGATTGGTTTGCATGTACAAGAGGCCTTGGCGTCTCTGGAGGACCGGCCTCAGTTAGGGGGTGCTGAGCCACGAATCAGAGTCATGAACTTAAGGCATGCTTCCCTGAAGCCTCCCCTGACATATGGGGATAAAGGAAGAAAGGGAATGGATGCAGAGCATCCTTGGGGGCCATCAACTCAAACAGGGAACCTAACCTGGGCTAACTCCCTTCTCCTTTCCTGGCTACAGATTTCTTTATCCATAAAATGGCGATAGTAACTCTTACCTCACAAGGCTTAGTGATGCGGACTCTACTTAGTGTCAGGAACGGTGTCCTGGGTCACGTCAGTCACGGATCAGGAGAATGAGGTCATCCTATTAGGTGGCCATCAAGGGTCAATGGGACAACCTGGTGATGGCTGGGGGGCGGTGGCACTTGGTGACACAGATGCCTATCTCTGGTGGCTAGCAGGTGTTCAATAGACTCTCTCAGGAGGGTGGTGATGCTACTGATGTAAAAATAGGGCCGCGGTCTTAACCATCAAAGGGAGAGCGGCAGGTTCTTATTATAGCTCATTCCCTTACCTTTCTAAGGGGGAGTGTGGAGGCCCAGCCAGATGGAGATTACCGGACAAGCTGAAGGGGAGACAGAGGCTTCCATTTTCCCATGCACGTTCTTCACCCTGTGGACTAGGAGACATGCCAGCCTCGTTTTCCCTCTAGAAATCACAGCAGCCCTGACTACCCGGGGCAGAAATGTTTGGATGCAAGCAGGCATGGATCACCTGGAAAGATCTAGAGAGATTCACAGCAACAGCAGGGAAATACCAGTTCCTTCCTGTAAGCTTTGCCCCATGAATCAAGGTGACAGCTCTGTAGTGGGAATATCCAGTTATCTGGAGCGCTGTTGTGTAAGCGCGTGGCTCAGAGACAACCATATTAGACAATAGAGAGGGCTCTTGTCTGGTAAGCACTGATCACATGCCAGGCACGGTGCCAGGCTCATGTGTCTCCCTAGCCTACACAATAACCCTGTGGGTGGGTGCTTCGTAACTCCTGGCAGCAGAGGCTCTGAGAAGCTGAGGGGCTTTCTCAAAGCCCACAGTCCCTAGTGGGGCTATACCTTAAATCTAAAGAGCATGGTGCAGAACCTGTGACCTTCCACACCAGCTTGCCACCCAGATTCCTTCTGCTCCGGTCATCTTCCTCAACCATCCACACAACTTCACTTCTGTGACCTCATAGTCCTTGGGTACACAGCCCTGTGAGGGTCAATGGGTCTTTGCCATACATCTACCATTTAGCTTTCTCAACAGGCAGTTTGAGCCCTGCCAGGAACTGAGTTGACTGAAAAGCCACACAGAGAAAAGCTGGAGATAGGATTAAGGCTTTCCAAACTGTTGTCAGTTCCGTGTGACAGTGGAGGTAACTGAGACTCCAAGGACAAGGCGTGGGGTTGACACAAACACCATGAATACTCAGGTGTGTCGTCTCCTCCTCTTGAACCGCAGTCCCACATTTCTGTGACCCTTTCCTTCTAGGGTCCGCATCACCTGGTGAGGAATGGGAGATGAGGGGTTAAGGAGGCTGCTGGACTCTTGGAAGAGACCCAGGAAGTACCGGGTTGAGAAGACTTCTAAGAAAGAAGGAGGCAGTTAGGGCTGTATGTGTTGTGACTTCAGGGCCAGAGGGCCAAGGGTCATCTTGGCTCCCGGCTCTCTAGAGGCTGGCCCTGCACTTGGTCTCTGGCCCAACTTGGCTCAGCCAAGGCATGAGGTCACCAAGGCTCTGCTGTGTTCTTCCTTCTAGATAATTCTCTGGTTCATCTCTCAGGAGGCTGAGGCACAAGGTTAGTGACCAGGATTTGGAGAAAGTTCTGGGGTCTTCTTACCCATGAAGTATGCTGTCAGCTCAGTGGGGCCTGCATTTCAGGCCAGGAGGCCTAGTACAGCCCTTTTGTGGGAACTCTGATCATCCGACCTAAGGGTCCGTAGCTTAGTGTATAACGGGAGATAATTCCCCAGGAATAGTGGGGTCTCAGTGTCCCTGAATTCGGCTTGTGCTTCCCAGGCCTCACCTAAATCATAGTCATTGCCTACCCTTCTGCTCTGCCCAAGATTCCAGAGAGAGAGGCCAAGAGACAGTGTAGGTTGGGGGTCGAGTCCCTGGGTCCCATGAAGTACTGAAATTTGGTGTTTATGTGGTTTAGGGTCAGCCCTCAGGGCCTCTTGAGTCTCTTTATTGTCTGGGGCAGCCAGGTGAATCCTGCCAGGATCTTCACAAAGCACCACTGGCCTCAACACTTGACAACACCTTCCTGGTGAGCTGTCTGCTCTCTGAAATGGGCCTGAAGGTTGTTCAGGTTGAGGTCACCAGATGACTCCTTCCCAACCACCATGACACAAACAAACAGCCAGGCCAGGTGTCTTGGGAAGCTGGAATCTCCTCATTGGGTCCCCGAAGAGGCTGGCTCTGGTAACACCCCAATTCTCAGTTACCCCAGGCCACTTGAGGGTCTGATTAGCTGAATCCAGAGGGACCCTGGGACTTACAGATGGGGTTTGGCGTTTTGGCTTCCTCCTTAGGCTCATATTGACCTTTCCATCCCTAGGCAATTCTGGGCATTTCCTGTCCCTGGAACAGGTGAAGAAAGGAGAGGGAAGGATGCTGCCAGGTTCTGGAGTAGCCAGTGAATTGCTTTAATTATTACCAGTTTTAAGAACAGTACATCCTAGGTTAGATAGAACCAGTGCTGAGACAATGGTAGCAGGGAAGTGTGAAACCAGCCCTCACCTAACAAAGAGCCTAAGGCCCGCGGCACTTTTATAGTCTTTACATAGGTATTTAAAGCAGATATTCACACCAAACATTTGATGATAATAAATCATAACGTATTTCAAAACCATTCTTTGGCATACATACAATTTTCCCATTTATTAAAGATAAAAGTGAATCTGTGTACTAATGAAATGGATGTGTTTATTTATTGTTACACAAAGAATTAAGCCTTGGGGCTGGAAAGACTCCTCAGTGGTGGAGAGCACTGGCTGTTCTCCTAAGGGACCCGGATTCAATTCCCAGTACCCACATGGCAGTTCACAACGGTCCGTAACTCTGGTTCCAGAGTATCTGACACCTTCACACAGACATATATGCAGGCAAAATACCAACGCACATAAAATTCAAATAAATAAATAATTTTTTAAGAAAAAGAATTATTGAAGGCTGGAAAGATGGCTCAGTGGATAAGAGCACTTGATGTTCTTGCAGGGGACCTGGGTTTG